TCAATTCGAAGTTGCCTGACGAAATGGTTTCGTCATGCGTCAATGACGCAAGTTGCGTCATGCGTCACCCATCACTACTCCGTTCCGAACATTTTTTTGGACAATGCCTACAATAACTACAAACTTTTTTAATAGGGCATAAGACCCGTGCAATACCGTACAGCGCGCACCATAGTACCCTGCGTGACAAATAATGCAGATTGATTTTTTAAAATACTATTTATACATTCATGTGATGCAAAATTACGTGATGTTTAAATTTTCACAGAGCATCACACCGGGTACTATAGTCTGCGCTGTACGGTAAATCCTTTTATTTTAGGACAATCCGAAAACCAACTTTACAAAAGTTTTAGAAAGTACTATTGAATATCAAAAGTTCTACTGAAGGTTTAACGCATCTAGTCAAAATAATTTCCGGAGCATAACGAAGAGCATTAAATCTAGAAAAAATGGCTATATATATATATATTGTATGTTTTCTATACAAACCAAAAAAAGATTTATACAACATTTATTTTCTCATGAAAAAAAATTTCATTTTTACTATAAAATCTTGCTAATTATTTACCAGCTTACTAAGAAAAATAAAAGTAATATATAATATAGCCTTCACAGGGTAATATATGAAAAAATTAAACAAACAAAAAATTATACAAGACAAAATCGCCATTAGACAATAATAAGTCAACACCGAACTATTTAAAATTATAATTGTAAAATAACCTAAAAAAATTTTGATCATACTCAAAATTTTCAAAAATATATTCATCAAAGAATTAATTGAATCACAACTATAAATTGCTAAAACTTCATATTCTTCAGCATTTAAATAGCGTGAAGAAGTTATTCTGTGCTCATATTCATTCCAATTACTAGTCCAATAATTTAAATTCATGCATAAATCGGATGATCCAAAACAAGCACCATATAAATCGTTATTCCAAATAGCCTTATTTTTTCTTTCTTTTTTTACCCTATTCAATACTGGATTTGATTGATCAGTAAATGAAAACATAAAACTATTTGAAGTTTTACTAAAATATGGTTTCCTTTCAACTTTAAAAAATGGTATATGTAATAGATGAAAAACGTTAGAAACAAATAGAGGAATATTACCCAAAATTCCGCTGCAATAATGTTCTCTGTGTGTAAAATCTAAAGGTAATGTATCAATGTGTAAAGTAGAACTATTCCAGCTTACAGGATTATATCCACCTATCAAGTCACCTTGAAAAGTTTTAAGTATTACAATAGTAGGACCTTGAAAATCACATAATTTATGAAATTTACTAATATTAATACCATCTCTGCTTCCACGTAATAAAAGTTTAATCTTATAAGGATCTGTTATACAAGTATAATGACTTTTATCTTTGTGATCAATCCAACTTGAGATAATAGCTTTATTCTCATTGGTAATTAACCTGGAGCATCTTCTTGGAGGAATTTTAGATTTAATAAATGTATTAGAATCCAAGTGGTAACGTTCAATTTGTTTGTTGATATAACTTTTAGGAATATGATAATAACGAATTAAGGGGATGCAGCGAGAAATAGTTTCTTTTAATACTTTGAAATGATCATCAGACCAGCTTGAAATATTTTCATCAGACCAATTTGTAATATCCTTATCAAGAACTTTAGAAATACCCCATCTAATCAAGTAATTCCAAATTTGTATTTCCTCAAGTTCAAGATCATCACTTTCTAAAAGACAAATCATAGCTACTTCATCTAATGAAGGAAAATTTGCTGAATCAAAAATGATATAAGGATTTCTGAAAGTAAGATTTAGAACATGATTGTATATTTCATGAAAATGATTATGACGACAAACAACATTAAGTGACGTTAAAAGATTAGAGCGTAACCATCGAGAATTATTTTTAATTAAGTGCTTTTGAGCGCTCTCTGCAAGATCGAGTAGTTCAAGTTCATCAGATGCGACTAGGATATTTAAAGAATCTTCGGCCGATGTATTCAATATATTTTTTCCTGTATAAATATAACTTAAACGTATTATAAAATTAACTTATTAGCAAAGAAATCAATTAATAGAATTAACAAATATGTTAAATTATAAAAAACTTACTCAAGAATTAACATGAAAATATTAGGATGAATATTTGGCTTTGTAATAATATAAATATCATGCTTTTGGTCCTTCCATCGTTCTGATAGAGCCCTTTGAAAATAAAGAGAGGAGGGGCGTAAAACTGATGAATGTGCATTGAATTCTTTAATGTCTGGTTTATTTCCAACAATTATTTTTACATCAGAATTGCTATCGCTATCAGATAGTGACCACATTTGATTTAGTTTAGTTATACTATAAGTGCACGTCTGAAATGTGACAAAAAAACTGAATTGATAAGGATCAAGAATTCCGATCATCTGACGATCTACCTGCATACATATTTATGTAACCTATACCAAAAGGATACATGCAAACTTAGGGTGTGTAACGGGCCGGGTCGGGTGGGTCGGGCCATAACCCGACCCGATATAATTAACAATAAGCTAAACCAGGGACAGATAAATGTAAGCTTAATCTATAAAATGTTAGATAACCAACACGTAATATATAGTTATATATAGTTTTGAACTCGGATAAATAAATATCGGATATACAACTATATACAGCGCTATGAGACGCTATAATTTAAACAAACAAGAAATTTCATAAGATTTTAAGATGTATATAGTATAGAGTGTAAAAAACGTATCGTGCCAATTTACTACAGTTTTCTAATGCTAACGCTAATAATACATAGCGCCAGAACAGAATTAAAAATAGGGGTATTCACACCCCCATACCTTGCGGATCTGGTTATACTAATATACACAATCTGAAATATTTTCGACAAAAAAATAGTAATTATACAGTCTAATGTGAATAAAAAGCTAAATGCGGCGAGAACAATTCATATTAAACGCTTAGACCAATTATACCAACAAATAATTACTAAATTTAGAGGCAAGGATGCTCCCACTGTGATTAGCTAGCCACTAAGATAGTGCATAAGTACGATTAATTGAAGCGATTCTTACTATAATGAAGATTTATAACGCGAGTGCTGGAATGCGGATAATAAATTTGGTCAATCAGTACAAGTCTGACAAAAAAGGTGGTTACAACCTTTTGTTTTCATCGCGATAATGAACATACTTACAAGTTAAATTTTCCACCAATTAAAAATTGAGTTGAGTTCAGACATATTAATTTATGTGTTGAGAGAACCTTAGGTCAATATTAATAAAAATTTAAAGAAGAAATTAATAAACAAATTGATTGATTGATAATGCTCAATTTATTAATAAGAAAAGGTTCTGAAGATACTTAATTGAAATATCATGTGAAATGATTATATGACGAAGAATTTTGTAGACCAATTTCAGCCTATTAAAGATTTTTAGAGCTGTTAACGCTTGTATGGCTTCTTTAAATACTACATTGCTTTAAAATTATGCAGCACTGTATCGGTATCATCTGCCAACTTGAGCCATGGCTCAAGTCGTACTCTAGCCACTACACAGAGTGGCTTCAATAACTATGGCTTAATCTGGAGCTAACCCTAATATACCAAAACTGTGATAAAGCATTTTTTGCAACGCTGCGAATTTATATAACACAAAGGAATCATAAAACTAAACATTTGAACTTTTTTTCTTTAAATTAGAACGTGACGTAGACTGCTTCTCTGGTTTACGCTTAGATTTGATTTCTTCATCTAATAACGATATGTAGCATAGTACAATAATCTATAATAACAGTCATTTAAAAAACCGATTCAGTTGCAGCTGATGCTGAGCTATATAGCTTGAGCTGCAGCTCATCGGCTTTGGTCGTATTGGCTTCATTATGCAGCTAAACCGGGTCAGGTTCAAATTTTGGCCTGCTACAAATCGGGTCGGGCTAGGGTAGGGCCTATTTAAGTATCGGGTCGGGTTCGGGCCATGTCAGTGGCCTGATAAACCTGTAACATAATGGAATAATTCTAATACAAACTCTAATACAAATTAACTATGATAATTTCTCACATAGCACTATATTTACATATAGTATGAGATTTGTCTAATCATTTGTAGTTTTTATCGCTTTATAGGTTTTTTTCAATTAAAAATGAATGACGATGATTTATATTTTATTATTGTCCTTCGGATTACGCTAACCAAATATGGATTTGTTGTCATATCTTCAGAGCTGTTGACGGCTTACCTGAAACCGGTCCCTAACCCGACCCGATCCGCAAAATTACGGGTTAAACCCGGCCTATGCACATTACATCTACTACTACGTATCAGCAATGATTTGAACCGATTGGGGTAACTGAACTGAACCGAACAAAACTCCGTTACTGATTGAGTACGTAAAGTTCTTAATCGGGTAACCCGGTACAACCGGTTGACTATCGGTTACCCGGCTAACTGATTATTAAAATCAAGTCTTTACTGATTTGCAATTGAATTATCTGTTTAAACCTTGCATTTTTGTATTATCCGAATAATTTGATAACTATGTCATTATGATGCAAAAATTGAAAGAATGAACATAAGGCGTTTGAATATTTTCAAAAGCTGCTAATTTAAAATTACTCATCCTGATATCACATGTCGAAAATTTCAATTTCGGCCAGTGTTTGATTATAATTGGTTAACCCGGTTGATATTTTTTAGATCCGGTTAAGCTGGATAACTCGGGTCAACCGTGTTACTGCTATTTTCATAATTCCCGGAACACTCGATAAAAATTGGTTAAATGGTTTTTCGGCCGATTCGATTAAATTTGTGATTTCGGTATGATCTGTATAATAAAAGCTATTTTTGTATCTTAACAATTGTTTTACTGATCATTAGAACGATAATGTCAACATTATTAATCTTTCGTTCGAATGCTTGTCCAACATGTTTGGTGTCAGCAAGAAATATCGGATATAAATTGGATTTTTAATGCAAAAATATTACAAGAATAATACCAATATTAAAAAAAAATTAAATATGACTATGATTTTGTCTACTGATTTAAAAATGAATTTCGAGTTAAAATTCCAAACGATCAAAATTTTATTATATTTGTTGAGAAGGCAAGAAGAGTTATGATAAACAAAATCAAAGTAGAAAAAAAATCAAACTAGAAGAAAATTTATACTGTATATAAATACTTTTTTATATGTAAATCCAAGTCGCTGTATAGCCTTCAAAGTTCCATCTCGGATTGTAATTCATACAAATAGCAGTCAGATTTTCCCCACAATATTAAAGATTTACATCGTTCATGTTTAATGAACATGGTTTTCCTAAAAGAGACTGAAGTGTTTTAACACACCCATGTCTTTGAAACTACCTAAGAACCCGACTTATATAAGATATGCTAACACCCAAGTGTTTGACAATTTTTCGAAACGATAGGCCTTCTAAATTTTTTTTTTAATTATTTTTCCAGTGAAGCTGCTTTGAAAGTATCATTTTTTCATTCAATCAGAGATACAGTATTCAAACAATATTTATATTAGTCATTGAACTTAAATTACATAGGTTATCGATTTTATTGAATCTATTATTGTTGAAATCACAAACTTAATCGGACATTATTCGGTCAATTTCTATTAGATGTTCCGGAAATTATGAAAAATACAGCAATAACCGAAACAACTCCGGTTAATCCGATTAGAACTGTTGATACGGTTCGGTTAATCGATTATTGATACTCGGTTCAAATCACTATCTATCAGTACCTGTTTTTCCTATTACGTACTGTTGACCCTTCATATAGTCACCTCCTATATAATCACACCATATGTAATCACATTTTTATTTAGGCCAAACTATGATTTAATTTATAAGAAAAAAACATCCATATAAGCACAACCCTTTATAAGCACATTTTTAAAAATTTATTATGTGCCGAATATTGGAAAAGTGATACAAGCAAACTAAAAAAAAAACTGTTCCATTAATTCAGACTTTGTGAAAATATTTTCAGCAGCAAAAAATATATTCTTCGCAATAATGTAA